GATTTGCTGGGGAGAATCTATTTTTCATCCAGCGACATTTCCAGAGGGACATGGCAAAACTTTTCAAGGCGCCACCCAACACATCTTGATTCGGGATTCCTGCCCTGGTAACCTCTGCCTGTCTACCTGGCTGGTGGTCTGGTGCCTGGTGCCTGGTGCCTGGTGCCTGGTGCCTGGTGCCTGGTGCCTGATGGTATTCCGTATTTACTGTCTATATTTATTTTCAGAACAAAAAAATAGTTGTTTACTATACATATGTAGACACCCACAGCTGGACACAAAATATTTAATTGCAGAATAACTGATTCGAGATTCCAACCTCAGAAATCAGTATTTTATTTTGTTTTTAAACAGAAGCCACCAATAAGGCCAATACACAACGATGGACATCGGTGAACAATATCAACAACAACAAAAAATGAAGTCATTGAATAATTGATATTCCAACACTTGTAGGACGCCTACAGGTACCCTTAGTATATAGAGAGCAATGTGTTTACTCCTAGGTTTAAATCTATGTAAACTCCTACGAAAACCAATATAGTTACTGTTCATTTCAACTTGTCCGAAATATCATGATTATGATAAATGTCAGATGGTCATTGATATATCCGACAATACTAAAGTACTTTGCCACATAGGGATAATATTATTTATTTCAAAAATGGCAAGTATGTATGATACAATGTAGTGTGGTTGTACTTGCAATTGGCCTCCAATTATATGTCAACGCATATTAGGTAATACCATATAACAAGGATTGCTTTTCCCGATAAGGACTTGTGTTGTGTGCTGCATGTCATGAATACTTTAACAAATAGCATTGTGCAAGATTGAAGATTGAGTTGCTACCGTATTAAGCAACCATGTCCGTGTGAACAGAACATAGTGTTGAGATGTAAGAAATTCTGAAGTACTGCCGGTGAGTACAAACATAGTGTTGCTATGGAGAAACAAAACTTGTAGTAAAGCTGAAGGCGATTGCTGGTGCAATACCATGCTGCAAATAGTATACATAGTGAGGTCTGAAGTACCTAATTGGCTGTTTATTGTGAGTCAACAACACGTATATTGAACTGTGTCTGATAAACGAGGGTTTTACACCGAGACTGGCGGTTTCCTGCGAACTCTCTCTTGTGCACACTGCAGATAATGAGGTCTTTTTAGATATCATATATAACCTAGATGTAAAGACTAGATGGCCAGTATTGGTGATGCAGCTAAAAACCGCCATGCAGTTTACAAGGCAAAAACAAGTATAGAGCTTGCCGACATGAAATCTTCGTTGATTGGACGAATGTGCGTCAAGTAATTAAGCACAACAGGGACTGAGTAAGCAAGTATGTATCTGCGAACAAAAGCAACCTACATGACTTGGATACAATACTTCATTAAAATTTTATTGAGGAACTATCTAGCACTAAATGGTCTATGGCGTACGCTCTTATGGAGGCAAAGACAACTACATTGCGTACACTGGCAGAATCCATTTCAAACGAGCCAACACTGAAAGTCGTGTATTTGAAGGAGTTCAATTTTTTTGCCTTTACGGCAGTGTTGGTGGAAGAATGGATTATTGGCATGGGCGGAGGTGAGTCGGACTTAGGATAGAAGACTGGAACTTGGGATCTGTCGATAAAGCTAAGCAGATAGCAAATACTAGTGACACAGAAACTACTGTGGTGGAACCATCGCTGTCATCAAATTCATTGACAGCAACTCAATCAGTCATCGGTACTGCTAACATGATCACTAGTACTTTATTAACGGCAGTGATTGAAAACTCCCAGGTAGTATCCCAGCAACGATCACAGTAGGTGGCGAGGACGATTGAGTGGTGCGCTTTATTACGTTCACGTTTTCTATGTGTATGCTTCTCAGAAGCGCCTTCATCACTTGGTACATGTCATGCTGGGTTGGGACGTCTGCGTGAGCAGATTCGTATGTGAACGTTATAATCTTCCCCCGCTGGAGACCTTGGCTCTGATTTAACAACCAGAACGTACGATTTTGTTCGGCGAATTAAAACCTTGACTGGGACGACAGAACTACGGCCTAGGAGGTGAGTGTGCCGTGTTGGTGGCAGTGAACGAGCTATCGAAACTCGTGGCGGTGTCTGTGTTCTCTCCATTCATGAATGTAGACTACGCGTGTGGTGATAAAGTTTGATAGAGAACTTATTTTTCCATAGGGGCTGCTCCGGACGTTGGCGGTAGAAAAGGCACTATCTTCGAAAATATATTATTCGTAGAGTTTAGTCTGAATCGTGGCTTTCAGGTTCACTACAGCTCCGTTGGACACCGCGAAGGTGATGGTCGTGCGAAACGGGCAATCCGCACTAACCTGTCTTACGAAAATACCATGACTGGATGAATGCGTCTAGAATGCGTCTAGAATGTTGTTCTTTCTTACAATGCGATGGTCATTCTTCAGATGGAGTCTTCACCGTTCTTCGCGCACACGGACCGGATGTATGATGGGCCTCACCGGTTGACAATTCGAGAGAATTTGTGCGAGATGTTAATCGTAGATGAAAAAGTGCCAGCTGCGGTGCGTAATCGCATTGCTACATGCCTTAATGAACGACGACAGATTACACAGAAACGAGTGTTAGAGTGCAATGTAGTAGACTTTAAATAGAGTACAAATGTATTTAAAAAGTCGTGCTTTCGAATGAATTTGTTTATGACCTCACCCTCAGATATATACTGATGGTGTTTAAACTAGTGTTTAACCACTTGGGTTGGCCTGGGTAAAAACTCATATGGTCAGTATGAGAAACCTTATAAAGAACACTTTTAATAGTACTTCAATATATTTGTTGTTATAGGCACCCGTGCTGTTTAGCTTGATACTTTGCTAGCATGGAACCTCTAGTCAGGTGCTTCATAAGGGTTGAGACGGTTTAATACGTGATTATGCTTTGCTATCTTGTTTTTTCTGTATCGATTTTAGACTATGTAAAGGTCTGTTCGAGACTTTGGGGCATTATTAACTTTAGAGTGTGTACTTGGGGGCACATTCACCGGAGTGTTGTACAACTTGCCTTATATAGTGGCACTGTCTCTCTGGTGAGGGGCGTGTAGGACGCCCACAGGTACAGAAAACAATATGTTTATTCTTAGATTAAAGTATTATCTGAAACTCCTAGAAAGATCAACATAATTGTTGTTCATTTGAACTTACCGAAATATTGTGATTGTGATAAAAGCCAGATGGTCAGTGACATGTCCGATAGTACTAAATTGCTTTGTCACGTAGTGTACTTTATGCATTTGAAGGCATTCAGTTACATGTCAAAGTATATTAGGTAATACAAGGTTTGCTATTCTGATAAAGACTTGTATTGTGTGTTGCATGTCATGAATACTACAAAAAGTAGCAGTGTGCAAGATTGAGGATTGATATTGAAGACTGAGTGAATGATAGATTGCGTACCTTATCAAGCAACTATGTCCTTGTGAACAGAAAATAACAATGAGATGCGAGTACTTGTGAAGGACTACAGGTGAGTACATGCATAGTGATGTTATGGAAAAGCCGAACTTGTATCAAAGCTGAAAGGCGATTGCTGGTGCAATATTCTGCAACAAGTAGCATAAAAAGAGTGAAGTTTGAAGTACCTATTAGCAAATTCTAGTAAGTCAACATTACGTATATTGAACTGTGTCGAATAAGCGAGTACCGGTTTTCTGCGAACTCTCACATGTGCACTATTTTGGCTAAACGCGCACTGCACACTATTTTCTTCTTCATTTCTATCGCCCTTCCCAGTGAGTGACGTTTTCGCTTCACTGAGTGACTTAGTGTGCCAGAATGTCCTCTTTGTGTTGGTGCACTGCGTTCACGCGAACCTGTAATTTGATATGTTGATATCATGACATTACAGTACATGGCCCTCGAAAGACAAAATTGTCACATCGCTAAAACAAATCATTATGCTTAAGATATGTTTTCCAGCAACAAGTACAATATAGCGATGAGAACCGCTTCTGTGGCGCTTGGTTTTTGCGCTCGCAGCATCTGTCCTTCATTTCGAGAAAATTTGCTAGTATGGGTCTCGAAGGCTTTGATGGAGTGAATCTCGGACGTGATTACTGGCATGGGAATGAAGGAACGTCGTTGACGAAGGTCTAACTCTGAACGGCACTTCACAGATTCTTCTATTCAACCGTGCACACGGGATCCTCTGATTTTTTGATCATGACAAATGAATGACACCGTTTCGACGCATAATAGTCGTAATGATTAAAAAACCATTGTATTATAAGTTCAATCCCAACGGTATATGTTCTTGGCTATCAATAGCAATGGCACTTTGATAAATTAAAAAAAAAAAATAGACTCAGCCTCCGAGATACAAAGTAAATTTGGAAAGTTTTGTGTGTTGGCGATGCTACCCGTTGCTGGGAATTAAACTATTTTTAACACTATCCTGCCTATCGTTGAGTACCTCACAACAGACCCTAATGAACCCGCCAACCCGGACACTAGATTAAAGCATATGCTACAACATCTTATGGCTGACCAAGCGACCGCCATAAAAATTCTCAACATTATAGGTCTATCTATGGCCAAGGTTACCGCTGGTAAGAGGGATGTCCAGTCTCATTGATCTAGAAGGTTTTAGCTATTGTGATTGACCGCCAAGCTACAAGAAATATTGGAGGTCGTCTCCAAGGTTGTGAAGGCGGACTTCGCCTTACTTCTACGACTCAACTGGGTTCAGTGCTTGATTTTCATATAACTCTGGGTTATATGAAAACAGTACTGCACGCTCTGCCCGAAGGCATCATTCCAGAATGATTCGAGTCCACCATACGTATGATATGCTCCTTAGACAGCGACTTTGTAGTCGTCCGTGACGTTGTGGTATTGGTCAAGCGTAATTTAACGAAAATATTTTGATATGCATCATATTACTATCGGAGACATCGAGAAAATCATCTCAATGCTGCCCGAGGAAGTGATGACTTTTCTACCAACAGATATGATGGGTCTCTTGGCAAATCTCTCGGACAAAATATCGCTGGGTGACATCTTTGATGTGCTAGAATACTCGTTTTCGATTAAATCGAGGGACATCATCCATCGAGCTAGTAAACTATAACACCCTTACTATCTGGTCAGCCTATCATTGATCAGTTCAGCGC